TGTCAAGAGGAAAATGAGAAATAAGAGACCAAAAAATGCAGATGAGCTGAAGGCCACTTTCAAAGAAACCTGGGCTTCCATACCACCTCAGCAGTGCCACAAACTGATCACCTCCATGCCACGCCGAATTGAGGCAGTAATTAAAGCAATAGGAGCCCCTACCAAGTATTGAGTACATGTACAGTAAATGAGCATTCTTTCCAGAAGGCCAGCAATTCACTAAAAATGTTTTTTTATTGGTCTTATGAAGTATTCTAATTTGTTGAGATTGGTGGGTTTTTGTTAAATGATCATAATTAAAAGAACCAAAGACTTAAACTATTTCAGTCTGTGTGCATTGAATTTATTTAATACACGAGTTTCACAACTTGAGTTGAATTACTGAAATGAACTTTTCCATGACATTCTAATTTACTGAGATGCACCTGTAGTACCCTTTGGTAAAGCGGAGCGAGGTATGTAAAGATGACGTATGGTACGTATGTTACATTAATTTAGTTAATTTCAAAGTCATATGAGCTTGTTTGTATGTATATGTTAAACGTGAGCTTTTATTTCTCATCTGTTTCTCTGTAAATGTGAACTTTAATTATTGTATTTTTCTGTATATGAGTTGTATTTATTGGTTTTGTTGTTTCTTTGTGTAGTTTCATTGTGCTACGCAAACTAGAGTTTAATGGCGCTCTTCACGAGCTAAAGAAAGAAAGAAGCACATGTCAGAAACTCTTTGTGTCTTCTGTTGATTTCTCTGTTTATTCAGTGACAACAGAACAGTGAAGACTGAGATTTTAAATATCACTGTCTTGGACTGCAAAACAAATGTTTATACATAACTCACATATGTCATCATACAGATTTTACAATGCCTCTTGTGAAGATTGCAGCTTCATCTTCAGAATTTAACAGAGAATTAAAGAATATATGAATACATATGGTTTAATAGTGCAATCCTATTTATGATCATGTGCAAGTAAAACACCAAAGGACTGGAGGAAAAACAATGTTATGTATGTGCACTTAATATGTTGCCTTCAGTATATCAGTTTTCATTTTAAAATGTTGCATTTACATAAAACATTTTAATTTAACATTACATTAAATTACATTAAAAATGTTTGTTGCTTGCTTGCGTACACAAACACACCCAACTGATAGATGCAAAATCATAAAATAATTATCATTGCTATAAAATAATTTTTAAGTAAAAAATAAAAATAAAAAAAAGCTTTCAGTGCCAAAACACATTTTAAACAAAGAGTAAATTAATATAATACATGCATTTATCACAAATACAAGTGAATATCAATAAATAATTGTGTTACTTAATGTCATTATCCTTTTCACCACCCCGTGTATAGATCAATCAGCCTCCTTTTGTGAAGTTCTAAGATGGTTTCACACTCAATCCCGCCACTGTGTTTACCAGTGCGTTTGAAAGACTTGGGTGTTTTTTCGAAATAGTGGTGCCAGGTGCCTTTACTGTTCGCACCAAAGCCAAACACATTTACCTAAGCAAAGTAAAACAAACAAACAAACAAAAAAACACATCAGCAAAAGTAACTGACGTTAGTGCACAGCACACAAACCCCAGAAAGTAACTGCTAAAAGCTTTACCTCATCACAAATGTGCATGGCGAATATTAGCACAAGAAAACCCGTAGATGGATAAGATCTTCGAGACTTAATGTGCAGCCACGCATTGTGCACATAATGCATGAAAGCAGGGTGCATAACCATCACCTAAAAGAATGAGAAAACAATTATAAACCACTTTAGAAACTAAAACCTGGGACTCAGAACCTGATAATAAACACAAGTTTTAGGATTCTGACACCTTTTAAACAAAGAAATGTTAAGATGTAAAATGAAACATTTCTGCACAAGTGTTTACAGCATCAAGTATTATGGTGATTCCCATTGAATGTATCATGCAATTATCTCATGCCTATAGTCTGTGTATCATAACATTGGTCTCCATAGCTATTAGGTCTCCTTGGTGAAGTTTGTAGAGACAAAGTGCACTTTCTTCTGCCCAATTATGTCAATTCAAAGGTCTTTAAATGAACTATTTTATTGAAAGGTTTATTGTAAAAAAAAAAAAAAAAACACTGAAGATACTGATCTTACTTTGTCCTTGTTGGCTTGTAACTTGTCTATAACCTTAAACCGTGTTCTGTTAAGAAACACAATAAGAGAAAAAGGGTCAAAACAATTCAACAAATATATATATATTTTATCATCACATGTCATTAAAAATATGACTTA